TATAATTGCATTTACGAGTCTAAAAAAATTGTGGACCTTACTTGCGGGTCTTTCATACAAAATCACAACCCTCAAATTTAGGAAAGTTGTATGAATGCATAAATTACCATTTGATTGTGGAAACATTCTCACGATTAACCTTACTTTGATACAAATTTCGGTACTGAAAACGAAATTGAAATTTTTTAAATAAGAATAAAGTTGAAAAACTTAAGAGTAGTTGATAATAATTTTATTGTATTTAATTGATTAAAAAGTTTACACAGTCTTTATTTATATAGAGAAAATAATTTCATAATTTTATTATAAGGAGCTAAACAAAAATTACAAAATAAAATAGAATAAAATCCTAAACTAATAAAGAAGAAATGTTAGCCTAATCAAGAAAGAAAAAGAAATCATATTCCAAATAAGAAAGAAAAAGAAAAGATATTGCCCATGTTTGACACCCATTTTAATCTCATTCTCATTTTTTTTTCTCTTTCTTCATTTCAACCACACATTCTTTAAATAAAATAATATTACACACAAATCTAAAAATTTTCATCCATTTTCCACCATACATTCTCTCATCAATCACTATTTCAAAAATTTTCAACCCATTAAAATGGGCTTCAAACACAAGCAAAGTCATATTACAATAAGAAGTCTTATTATAAATATCTTGACTCTATATAATTTCATGGTTGACATGAGGCGAGTTCTAACGAAAACTAAACTTCAATAATTCAATCAAGAAACAGGGAAAACAACAAAGAATTGAGGGAGAATTGTAGTCGTGGTACGTAAATTTTCATTTTGTCTAAGATTTTATCCAAACATTTCATTTATGTCACACATACAGTCTCTAACATTTCAAAAGTTCTCTTGAAGTTCAAATGGATATAAATCATCCATTGTACCGCTGTTGACCATAATAATAGAATTTGATCAAATGTAAAAAGGGCAAATTAGTAATTTTACAAATTTAATATACGACTAAACAAACAAAAAGAAGAAAAAAGGGTCTGTTATCCCTCCCATTCCACTTGCTTTCTCACTTCTACCCCTAAAAATCGTTATAGCCACCACCACCCATCGTCGCACTACCGTAAACACCTCAAGGCAACCAATATAGTACCCATGCCTCTCATTTTTCTTGCAGAAGCTCAGGAAAATGGCTCTGAAATCGATAACTCTCTCTTGGAACATATGATTGAAAAAGTAAGTGTATAAAACAGAAGACGCACTACATAATCTGATTAAGCTCCGAACACTTGGTTGGAAAAACTAAACCTTCGATAAAAGATAATTAGTTTAGTCAAGTCTTAAATGTTGAATGCAATCAAAATTAAGGAGAATCCTTATTTATTGAAGTATTAACTGATTACTCATGACATCCATCCAGGCTAGAGATGGTAAGGATTATGATCATTTAATTTTCAACCTAAAACCACACATGAAAAAAATGAGTGAAAAGTAAAAGTTTGGGGTTGTGTTTTTCATGACTGAATAGTTTGACGAGAATGCCTAGATTGTTTGAAATCTATGTTACAAGTCATATTTGGAAATATTTTTTAAAAAAGAATGGTATATTTATCAAAAGAATAATAATAAAAAAAAAATAGACATCATTAACAACCCCAAAATCAGTTACTTTTGAGTTCCTCTTCATTTTATTATCAAATTTGATATTTTGAGAAGGAGAATACTAAGTGCTTGTTTGGTACGGATTTTTGGGGGAAAAATNTGGTAGGGATTTTTGGGGGAATAATTGATTTTCGAATAGTGATATGATCGAAAATGTGTGGTTGAAAAAGAAGAAAAAATTATTGATGTAATGGAAAATATTATTTTATTGAAAAATGTGTGGTTGAAAATGAGAATCAATTCTCAAAATCAGAAACAAACACCCCCTAAGTAATGCACATTGGTGAGGTTAATGAAATTTTAAGGAAAAATAGAATGTCACTGTATTTGTGAATATGTCATATGTCAAATCGTAAATTTTACTTGGTTCTTTTCCACTTATCTATTATCGACATAATTTCCTCTTTCAACTAAGGAATCTAACAACAGTAACGTAGTGCATGCAATCTAACAAGCTTTGCAATCACTCACTTGATGGTGCAATGTATAAGAGGGTTGAAGAGCTAAGATTTTTTGAAGAGAAGAAAACAAGGCAACAAACACTCAAGATGGGTTAGCTTTTCGCAAATTTTTGAATTCATTATGGTCGAATGCACCTCCCCAACGCGTTGTAAATATTTTGAACATTGATCGTTGAAGACTCGCCTCCCAGCTATAAGGTTGGGCATTAAGCCCCTGTTTAACAAAAAATAGAATTCAGATTTTAATTTAAATTAAAATCAACAATTAATTTCTACATGTTTTACGGAATTCACAATTTTTTAATTATACATTTCATCAACTTTAATCAAAATTTGTTAAAAAAATGATTTTAATTACCACTAAACCGGAGCTAAATTTCAATCTTCTTTCTCAATCACAAGAGATATTGTTTATATGTCAAACGCCGACAACCTCTGAATGGTTGAGGTAAGGGTTACATAAGAAGAGTTTACCTGTGTCTTTCTCTTGGTTATCCACGATAATTTAGTAAATATGAATAGCTCAACCAATGTAGAGGTGTCAATTTGGGTGGTTCGGGCTAGGTCGGCTTGCCAACATATAAGTCCAGTAATGGCCAGCGTGAAAAAAAGCCCGCCCGCTACGGGTTTCGGGTTGGTTCCGGGTCGACTCACAAATTTTGGATTACAACTCAGACTCGCTCCGCTGACCAATTCGGGTCGAGTTCATGCAGGTCACAGGTCGCGGCTTGTTCCGATTTGACCCGTATTATTGTATAAATAAAATTATAAAAATATAGAATTTTTTATATTTATAGCAACAATATTTTTTTTTAAATGTAAACTAAGAATTGAACAAAATGATACGATACAGATTAAAATTCAATTAAAATTGAAAATATGACCATTATTGGGTCGCACCCGTCTAATAAAAGTCAACAATAACGGCTAGTTTTTCAATTTTAATCTCTACTGAATACGCCCTATAATTTATAGTTTAAGTACATCCGGGTCACACTTCCTTGACCCGTGAAACTCTCGCTCGGGTCACGGGTCGACCCGAGGTCCCGGGTCGATCCGGACAGATTTTCACGGGTCGGCCGACCCGTCTGTCTTGACACCTCTAAATCAATGTAATTTAAATTGGTCTAAGTGCAAGAAGTAGACTCCTTTACCAATCAGGCTATAGTGCCATATTTGTTGACGGATATGTTGATACAATGTCATATGTCAGTTTATTTTATCATTTACATCCACATATGCATCTGTCAAAGAAGACGTTTAAAATAGTCCAATAATAAATTGACATATGACATTATGTCAGCTTATCCGTCAACGAATATGGCACTATAGCCAGATTGTATGGACAAACCTTTGGTCAAAATCTTATGCGGGCCATAACATTTTTGTTAATTCCAATCAAGCTTCTAATCTCAAATAACACTAATTTAACCTGCCTATACTTAAACCACATGTCATAGTTTCTGCATTATTAAAATTGCATTAACGAATCTAAAAGAATTGTGGACCTCACTTGCTTGTCTTTCGTACAAATTCGCGACCCTCAAATTTAGGAAAGTTGTATGAAAGCATAAAACACAAATAAATTTCATGTTCCCATTCGATCGTGGAAACATATTTACTTTGCTCTGATATCAATTTCGACATTAAAGCAAAATAAAAGTTTTCGAAATCAGAATAAATCCTAAATCAATCAAAATTGAAGTTTGAAAAAAATAAGTTTAGGGAGAATGGGCTCAACCAATGGCTCAATGCTAAACTTCAATAATTCAATGAAGAAACAGGCAAACAACAAAGAATTAATGCTAAATAAATCAAAATTGATCGTTATATAAAAAGATGGAAGAACATGTAGCCCACGTTTGTCTCCATTTAAAATAAAACTCTTTAATTATCTTACTTATTTTTAACCATACATTTACATAATAAAATATTTTACATGTAAACATAAATATTTTTCGTACTTTTTAATTATACATATTTCAAAAAATCACTATTCAAAATAATGGCTGTGAAATATGTACTAATTTTTACATCAGACAACACCAAAACTCAAAATCAAATAATTTAATAAAAACTTCGAGGACAAGCTGCTAAAAAAATTAACTTCTCACGCAATCAACAATGCACACGTGCATGAACTGGTATTGTTAAACTTACACTTTGTTTTGATCCCCATTATTTTTAAAATACATTTTTCTTTCTCTTTTTCTCAATCACATATTTTTTAATAAAATAATATTACACCCAAATTCAAAAAAATTTCTTTTTCAATTATACATTTTTTTATCAATTTATTATTTTAAAATGTATTATTGGAAAATAAAATGGGGGGCTCAAACAAGCTCCAATGATTAATATGTTATTCCATCTTTTTCAAGAAAGGCCCAAACAGTTTTTGGGTCACTTTTGATAAGTCCATAGAGGCCCTGAAATAATTAAAACGAGTCAACAATATTTACTTTTGAGACACGTGTCACTTTACTAATGGACCAAAACTTATAAACTCCCTCTAAGCTGAATTGGATAAAACTCCTGGAGTCCGCCCGTAACTGCTGTATAACAGTATTTCAGAAATTTCATCCAATCAGGGGTAGTGAGAGAGTCAAAGCTTTGGGACAAAAACTCCGAAAATTGGAAGACCAGTTTATTATACTTCACCCTTTCCTGCTCACTTCAATTTTCTAGCTAGGGTTTCCGTTTACGTGATTGATTTTTAGATTTAGGTAACAGTTCTCTTGTGTTAGTTGTTATCGAGGATTTCTTCTTCAATGTTTGGGTGATTTGTGTGAAATTTCTCTGATTTTTAGTTTATTTTTGTTTTCAAGGTTCTGGAGGCTGATGCTGCATTTCAGACTGTTTTTATTAGGTTTCAGATCAATTTGAAGTATATTTTGATTTCTCTGGAATATGGCTACGGGTGGTGTGGTGCCGTCAGACACTGAAAAGACGAAATACGACGCGATGCTTGTTGATAAACTTCCTGAAGAAATCAATGAAATGAAGATCAAGGAAGATAAGGTGGAAAAGGTTGATTCCTGAGCTTTCAAAGAAATTTTTTTTCTGTTGTTGTTATTATTATTATTTAAATTTTTTTTTTTGTCTTCCATCTTATATTGTTGATATTTGCTTTGTGGTAGGAAATGGAAGCGTCGATAGTTGATGGAAATGGAACTGAAACTGGGCACATAATTGTAACGACTATTGGGGGTAAAAATGGTCAACCTAAGCAGGTAAAGTTTCGAGATATAACTTTTATTGAAAAAATTTCTTCTCAGATTTGGGAAGGGGCTTCTTTTATTTAAGAAGTAAGACGGTAAATTTGTGTAGTTTGGTGAAATATTTGTTGATTTTAGTGTGAAGTTGTTTGAAATGCTGGCGGAAGATCGAATTCTGTAGGAGTACTTTTAGACATTAGACAGCGAAATTTCTTAAGGGAACGTCTCAAAATCCTGTATGTTTATGAACACTGAACAGTAGTGAAAGAGAAAATTTTGCCATCAATAGTTTATCGGTGTAATTACTTATAAACTACCTAGTTCGATAAAAGCTTCTTTTAGAAGTGTTTATAAATGGTTTAATTTATAGATAGGTGAAAATAAGCGGTGGATAAATGGACAATATTTATGGATCCCAAGTGATTTGACCGTTTATGAGCTGTTGATAAACTATAGCCAAACAAAGACTTCATTCGTAATGAAGGAAGGTCCCTAGATGATTATGGACCTCTACCTTTGCTTTTGCTTCTTGTTTGGTTTAGTTAGCGCTCGTTTGAGATAGTTTAAAAAGTTGCAAAAAAGTTGAAATCAAAGTCAACAATTAATTTTACGGTCTTGCTACAAGTACATCACCCCTTACATAAGGGGTGATGTACTCTTAGCATTATTCTTAATTTTAACCACACATTTCATGTCACATAACTTTTANAATGGGGGGCAAACAAGGGCCTAACTTAAAAGAACCAAAAGTATATTTAAGTAATAATAAACATCATGTAAGTTGCTCAACTAATAAGGTTGTAAAATTCGAATAAAGGGGTAAATAAACCCAACATATAAGGTTGTAAGACTTTAAATATACTTTAACCATAATAGATAATTTTTTTAAAACAAAAAAAGACAAAAAAAAAAAAAAAAAAAATGAAAAAAACAATTTGTTGCGATGCTCACTCCTGCAGTATAAAGTAGACTAAGATATTGTTTGGGCTTCTAGATTCCTCTTCTTTTATACTACTCTAATACAAGCCAAGGTCTTTCTCAAACCCTAAACTAGCTTGTCTTGGAATATCCTCATTTGATCATGCAGTCTTTACTCCCCATCCCCACCCAAACTGCTGTTGATTGTAGATCAGATTTTTGTATTTCCCCTCTCTATGAAACCCTTTCTTTTAAATTGCTTATATGTGTGTGACTGGTGGTGAAAACAATTGGTGATAAGGAATACTAATCTGTTGTTACTTAGCTAGTACTTACTACAATATGTTCAACACTAAAAAATTAACTGCTAAATGTAGATCTTGTGATTATGTTCGCATATCTGATAACAGTAATGTAATGATCTTACAAAATTCTTGTGCTGCATTTTATCTTCGTTTGATGCTACGTCAGTGTAGAATGATTTTGTATCCCTTATTTATGTTTTGCTTTCTTTTGTGATAGACAATAAGTTACATGGCGGAGCGTGTTGTTGGACAAGGTTCCTTTGGGATTGTGTTTCAGGTAATTGTTATATCCTGCATATATTCTGAAACATTACACCTGGTTATTCAATAATGGTGTACTTGGGATATAACTTTCAAAACTTGAGAAAACACAAACTTGATTAATATGTTTGAATTGGATATTCATTGCTTTTTAAGTTTAAACTATCAGGTAAACAACGTTGTTTAAAATTGTGTGTATAAATAACTTCGCAGGCCAAGTGTCTTGAAAGTGGAGAAACAGTAGCTATCAAAAAGGTGTTGCAGGATAAGAGATACAAAAATCGTGAACTGCAGACGATACGCCTTCTTGATCACCCCAATGTTGTTTCACTCAAACACTGCTTCTTTTCTACCACAGACAAGGATGAGCTTTACCTCAATTTAGTTCTTGAGTATGTGCCTGAGACAGTGTATCGCGTAACAAGACACTATAGCAAAGCAAATCAGAGGATGCCTATGATTTATGTCAAGCTTTATACATATCAGGTCAGCCAACTTGAATAGGTTGTATAAGTTTAACCATTTGATGATTGTAGAAATGTCCTCTAAGAGTCTTTGTTTTTCATTCATTTTTTATTTTTGTTTCTTTTTCAACCGAATAGGCTTTGATGACGGGTCTTTTTGCACTTGCTTTATCATACATCCCTATTTATACGTACTTATCCTCCATACGAGAGGAAAACGAAAAAATAAAGCAGATGATGCCAGATATTCTTTTCTGCTCTTGAACCCTTTCTTTTCAATCTCATTGTTCAAATTTGATTATCCTAATGGCTATTTATGCATGTACATTTGCATATACTGCATTAAATTCTGGAACGTTCACTTGTTTATTTCTGTTTGAAAAAAATAATAGTGCATTATTTTCAATATTAATTCTTCAGTCTTTGCATATGCTCTTTTGCCAATTCCTCCCATTTTTACGGGGAAGTAGCTGTAACATTTTGACATGCAGATAAGTCCATTTTTATTGAACTTGAAATATAGCAAGTTTCTCTGCTGTACTTTGGATCTTGCATTTCACGTATATCATGTTAGGAGTATCTTCTGAGAAGCTAATGTGATGTGCTTTTGGTTACATATTGTATCCTATGAAAGATAGTCTGCAATCTCTCATAATCAAAAAATCATCGTTTATGGGCTTTCATTCTGTCCACAGATTTTTAGAGCTCTTGCATATATTCATGGGATTGGAGTCTGCCACAGGGACATCAAACCTCAAAATCTTCTGGTGTGTATTTAAGTTTTCATACCTGTGTACACATTCCGGCTTAATGATGTACGCATTCCAACTTAATGATGTTCTTATAATTTGTTGTTGCAGGTCAATCCACACACTCATCAGCTCAAACTCTGTGATTTTGGAAGTGCAAAAGTTTTGGTAATGACAATATTATATAGATTTCCTAATTGGTTGAATAATTCCCTTGGAGACATTAAAAAAATTTGTGCCCTAACCAACCAGTGGACCATATAAATTTATTTATGCAAGACTTTCTTTGAAGGACGAAAAACTTTCATTATGTTTTGAAGGGAGCTTTCAAGTTGTATAAATATGGTGCACTAACCAATTTATAGGCAGCTCTTAAGATTTTATCATCATTAAGCATGCATGCCCTAAATATTTCTTAGATCTGAAATTTCTATAATCTCCAAAGATGTGCTCCTATCTTCTGCTTTTCCCATTAGTAAAGTGTTTTAACGCCATAAACAATCCATTCTGTGGAATAGGTGAAAGGCGAACCAAATATTTCTTATATTTGTTCTCGGTATTATCGTGCTCCTGAACTGATATTTGGGGCAACTGAATACACAACTGCAATTGACGTATGGTCTGTGGGCTGTGTTCTTGCTGAACTTCTTCTTGGACAGGTTCTTGACAAGTTCTTACATATTTCTATTAAGAACCATAGACAACGTAGTGTAATTGATGATATTTTCTCTTCCTTTTGTGGCCTGTAGCCTCTCTTTCCTGGTGAGAGTGGAGTCGATCAGCTTGTGGAAATCATCAAGGTAACCCTGTGCCTAATTTACAGACAATTGCATAACCTTAAATAGTTATAAGTGCATAAGCTTAAATAATTATAAGTAAACCGTTAAGTTTTGAAATTAAAATAATTTCTATGTTGGTCAAAGTTGGAAAAAAAAGTCACTTATTCGATCTAAAAGTATGTTTTGCTTTTGAACTCGGAAGTGAAAAAGCTATGGAAAGTGCTTTCTTAAGCTTAGCCTAACATGCTTTAATAGCATCTTGATAGTATGACAATAGGGCATACAATCTATAGCTCATTGAGTTAAAATTTGAGCTTATATTTTTTCATATGTAGGTACTTGGAACCCCAACTCGGGAGGAAATAAAATGTATGAACCCAAATTATACAGAGTTCAAATTCCCACAAATTAAGGCTCACCCATGGCACAAGGTGGTGATACCGATCTCTCTTCTGATGTTTTTACGCTAATACTTTTGCATGCATTCTAAGCTCTTGTTTGATCCCCATTTCTTGGAGAAGTAGATTTTGTAATAGTAATTTTTTTGAGGATGTGTGGTTAAAAAGTAAGGAAAATTTTTTGGGTTTATGTGAAATTATTTTATTGGAGAATTGTGTAGTTGAAAATGAATTTGGAGAAAAATAGATTTTTGAAATTTGGGGCTCAAATAAGGGCTAAATTGTTTGATTTCTCATTTTTGGAACTCACAGATTTTCCACAAACGAACACCTCCTGAAGCTGTGGATCTTGTGTCAAGACTTCTTCAATACTCGCCCAATCTGAGGTGTAATGCTGTGAGTACTCCAATAAGCTTTTGTAGCATATGTTATTGTTATCTGTTTCCTCCTCAGTACTCTGTGCTTGGAGGGACATCTATTAATTCAGTGCGACCAACCCTATATCATATGTTATATTATTTATCATAGTTGCAAATGGTAGTGACCTCTGTATTTTCTCCTGTTTACCCAATTTATTTAATTTTAACTTTTGCAGCTGGAGGCCTGTATCAACCCATTTTTCGATGAACTTCGTGATCCTAATACTCGTCTTCCTAATGGCCGTCCACTGCCACCTCTCTTTAACTTCAAACCGCAAGGTATGTTTACCATTCTCTTTCCTTCTCATTGCACTGGTCATTTTCTTCTTTCATCAAGTTAATATTCTTTTCGACTGTCATTTTTCCATTTACAGAGTTGAAAGGTGCATCTTCGGAGCTCTTGTCCAAGCTCATACCTGAACATGCCAAGAAACATTGTATCTTCCTTGGTTTCTAAGATTCCTTAGAATTCTCGTGTACCATGTGTATGCTTAAGACTTATTTGTCGTGTTTTATGTTAATTTACGCAGCTGACACAGAGAACAAGCTGGATTATCCTTTTGTTGACTTAATTTGTTTGTGTAATTTAATGGTTAATTAATCTATCTTCATGTTACTCCATATGCAGGGGCCGCCGTTCACGTGCACGTGTTTTATATATGTGGGGGTGTGTGTGTTAATTTTAAGAACTATTTTGAAGGAAATTTTTTATTAGTGCACAAAATACGGTTGTCCAACCTATCTAATGCAGTCCATTTAAAAATTATACCCAATATATAAGCAAAAGGAATTTAATATATGCGATTAAATTATTGGAAAGTGTAATTAGAATAGAACCAATAAATAAGCGAAGGGAAAAAATTATTATTATATATAAATACTATATTGGTATGTCTTCCTAGAAATTATTCCATCCATTTGCAAAAAGTAACATTCATTTTCCAAAAAATAATGTGAAAAAATATTTTCAATATTCTTCTTGATCCTTCCATGGTTATTTTCAATCTTTCACCAAATTCTACATCGTCAAAATATTTTGAGAAAGAATAAGCACATCGTGAACTTGGAAAAAATCGTCATTCTAAGTTACAAATTTTTACTACAATTTTTTTCATTATTCTTCTCATCCAACCGGGTTGAGATAATAGCACAAAAGAAACTATGGTAAGCTAATTTTGTGAATTATTGCATAATTTTAAGGGAACAATACATATATCAGCTATTTAGTAAACACTATTTCAATTTTACAATATATACTTTCAAATTTCAAAAATCAGGTTGCATCTAATAAAAAAAATGTATAATATAATATACATAGAAATTTCACTAATTTGGTATGATTTAATACAGTCTTTGAAATCATGGATTCCGTTACTACACCAAGGTAATTACAGTTATACTATTTACTCATACTTTTTAGGTTGTTTTTACTTTTCTAGACATTTTATTTCTTTTATTTTTATTTTTTTTTTAAAGTGGAGGGTTGGATTGGGCGGGTTTATTCGGTTTTCTTGAGTTAACCCATAATACGACCCGACCCAACCCAACCCAACCCGCATACATAGCCAATCCACTCAATTCGTGTAAAAAAATAAAAAAATCGATCCAACCCGATCGAGTTGGACGGTTTGGATGGGTTCGGTCGGGTTTTGTCCATCCCTATTTGTAAGTCATCGGAAGCATTGTAAAAATTTGAATTACACTATAAGTCAATCAAATACAGTGAAAAAGCCTTACTTGTAACGGAGAGTTTGGTAACGAAGGACGTAGATCATTGTTTAGATCGAGCCTCCACAATTACATTGTTTGCATACTCTCCCCTTTTTTTTTATTGCTTTCGTATTTATGCGTTTTTGTTTAATTGACTTATTCATTTTCAAATTGTTTAAACTTGAATTAATTTTTCGAAAATATTTTAACAAACAATTCACCACTCTCTCTGTTAGTTATTTTTGGGCTATCAATGTCTAAACTCAAAAGCATAAAATATATCTTACTTTGTTTTTGCCACTTATTAATTATTAAAACTAAAAGGAGACATCAAGTGGTCATGGTACTCCACTAAATGTTTTTAATATTTTTTAGTTGAGAAATTAGAAACAGAAAATATATAGATAAACAAGCTGTGGGTTGTATCATGTATGAGCAAATTTGTACACGAATGTAACATCAATTTGACTTTTCTTGTCACCCTTGAATATTTGTTGATAATAAATATAAAATAGTTTTCTAAAAATGTTTCTACTTAATTAATTTTTTTTAATTTCATGCTTACAATAGACTTTCTGTTAATTTTGTTGCGAATGCTGATTGGTAACATTACAATGGTCGAGATAAAAATACATAGAAACAAGATGGTTCATTTAAAAAATTTAATATAAATAAATGATTAATGATGGTTAAAAATCGGCAATGAAAACATTATCCTACGATTTTTGGTACCATCATGGAAATAATACTATGATGGTTAAAATGAAGTTTAGCTTGACAATTTTGTCAAAAATCAATAATGTAATCTTTCTTGTATATTACAAAATGGTTGCTATAACAACTATTATAACTTTGGGCTCATTGCTATTAATTCAATGGTTTCCATCGAACGTGATAACAATAATTAATTATTGGAAACAAAAAAAAAACTAGTCAATATTATCTCAAACTTACTCACCCATCTTTACTACCCATTATGTTCTCGATTCTATTGTAATAAACAATTAAACTCAATATACAAATTTTCTTCGAAAAATACTTTAAAAGGTCAATTTTAATAGAATTAGGACCAAGACTTTAGAATAAATAAGCAACCTGCCACGCTATCCCCACCACGAGTGCCCCTGATCCCAGCCATCTTCCCCTATAACCGCAGCCTCAAAATCTCTATCACGCCCTAGCCTAACTCCAACTTGTGAATAAGGATGGCAAAAAGACTCGTTAAATCCAATATCGCGGTTCAGGTTGGGAATTCCTTGCCTAATAGGGTAAACGGAAGGGGAGCCGAGGGGTGGCAGGGCCCCGGACGAATACGGAGAACATGGTCTGCCCGATTTAAAATCCATTTAAAATTTGAAACTTTTATCATACGAAATAAAAAATATATCAGCATCATTTTTAAAGGGATTATGGATTATTATTAACAAACTGCCAAAAAAAAAAATGATTTTTATCAACTAAAGAAATGAAAAATAAATAAAAATTAAAAATAAATTAAATTAAAAAATGAGTAGGGTAATAAAATGGGTCAAGGAATCTGCTCTATCCCATCCCGTCTTAATTGGATACGGGGACAAGACAAGTTAACAAAAATACACGGTGAAATCGAAGATAAACAGCTGTCGCGATCTCGTCCAGCCCTGTTGACATCCCTACTTGTGAAACAATATTGACGCAGTGACAAAATAATGAGAAAATATGAATGCATTAATCAAAGAAATCCAAGTAGTCTTACAAGCAAATAATATCACTATTTAAAATAAATTCTTTCCACAATAATATCCATCAACACATCCTTAATAATTAAAACAAATCTTTAAATTTGACTATTTTATTTTTCTTTGGCGAGGAAGGGTCAATTTCTGGAGCTTATTTTTCTAAAAGTAATCAATAATTAACATTAAACAAAAAGAAGCCATCTAGCATATAAATCTAAAATAATTGTATTTCTCAAAATTACAAATCTGTCTGGCACCTTCAAAATTAATATAACAGCATCAGCCATCATATGCACACACTTGAACCAAATAATTCTTAGAATCTAACAGTGTTAGGACACCAACAGCTCAAATCCATCACTTTTTTCATAGATTTGTCAGTTTTCTTCATTTTCTCCTCCCCCATCTTCCCAGTAACAGTTGCAGAAGAAGATGAAAACCTTGCAGTGGCAGGAAGAATTTGAGTCTGATAATAGGATTTGAGATTGTTCTTTGCATTAGTATGCAGTGATCTTAAAGGATAATTCCACCTGCAGACTCCTTGATCTTTCAGTGCCTCAATTGCTCCAATGCTAGCTGCCACAATCCATGTTTTTCTTGCTGAACTCATCTTTTGATATATTGTAAAATCAAGATTTTGAATGGGTTTTTCTTGAGATTGATTGGGAAACAGCAATTTTTCTGTGTCTTTGTGGGAGTGGAAAATCTTGATTCTGTTTATATATCGGGATTAGAGAGAAGCCAAAACCGTGTGGGACCAAAAAGGGGGTGGGTAGGGGTTTTAGGAAGAGTCCATGGTTTTTGAATAAAAAAGACAAAACCAACTGCTTATAAGTTAAAAGTCATTTTCTGGTTATTTAATTTATCCCACAATTATATTTGTCTCTGGGAATAATTATCAAGGAAAGAGTGAGAAGGGCTAAATTAAAATTTTTCTTACATTTTTTTACATCTTGTTACTATAAAGTATAAAACAATCGGATCCTTTTAGTTGGAGAAAAATTTAATTATCTCCCCCATCTAAAAACTTTAGTAGTCAACTTTTATCCACTTAAAAAAAAAATGCTTCTAATATGCATTAGTTCGAACTTTGACAAAATCAACTTAAACTTTAATTCACTAAACTCATGTGTGCATAGTGGTGAGAAATGAGACATGCCGCTAGCGAGCTCGATTGTATAGGAACAAGTTCAAAATCAAACTGTATCCTAAAAAAACAAGAGTTATTGTGTAAGAGGTCGTGGGCCAAAATTGCCCAATGATCACATTTTTGAATATAGTAGTCATGGAGGTAGGAGGAAGATGGGGTAGTTGGAAGAGAAAGACATTTTTTTTTTATTTTAATTTTTTAATTATTTATTTAAGAATCGTTGCACTTTTTTTAAAAAAAATTGAGATTATTAAAAAAAAAATGCTTCTAATATGCATTAGTTGGAACTTTGACAAAATCAACTTAAACTTTAATTCATTAAACTCATGTGTGCATAGTGGTGACAAATGAGACAAGCCGCTTGCTGGCTCGACTCTTATAGGAATAAGTTCAAAATCGAACTGTATCCTAAAAAAATATGAGTTTATTGTGTAAGAGGTCGTGGGCCAAAATTGCCCAATGATCACATTTTTGAATATAGTAGTCATGGGGGTAGGAGGAAGATGTGGTAGTTGGAAGAGAGACATTTTTTTTAATTTTAATTTTTTTATTATTTATTTAAGAATTGTTGCACTTTTTTTGAAAAAAATTAAGATTACGATTCCATTTAATTCTTTTTTTTTTTTCTTCTTTTCTTTATGTTTTATTTAAGAGAGGGTATGTTAATCATTTTATAAGATTTTATTGACAAAATGGAAAAAAAATATTGCATTCTGCAAAGTTTGTGCCATCTAGTGGAATATTTTTCCAAAATGCAGTCAAAGGCAGGGGATTTTTGCACCAATTTCCCCTTTTCAGATTTTTTTTTCCTGAAATATAAGTTGATGAATTCAAATAAAATTAAACCAAGTTCTTCTAGGGTTGTCAATTTGGCTGCCTGCATTACGGTTGCCTCTGGCCTTTAAAAACAGGCAGGTGTAATATCAAATTCAAATTTTGTAGAAATTGATATATTTTTTTTCTATAAATGTGATGTAAAATTGCACATATTTTAAATTGATTAAAAAAATTTTAGAATGTCGC